TAGTTGCTTGGTTAGTTGTCTGTAGTTGTTAAGAATTGTCCGCAGTTTAAGAGCTGGGCGCATTTTAAGAGCTGGACGCATTTTAAGAGTTGGTCGCATTTGATCCGCCCCCCATATATATATATATATATATATATATATATACTAGTGGGCTCTCAGCTGTGCATGCACAGCTGGCCCGAGTTTAACCTATAATTGTGAAATATTGATTGATTTTTTTTTTTCAGCCACAAAAAATTGCTACTTAAAATATGTCTAACTTTATACATATATTTGGCTTAAAAGAGTACATATACATATTTGCCCACATTCTTAAAAATAAATTGAAACTACTTAATATGAATCCATCATAAAATATGATAAAATATCCAACAATCATAAAGACGTCAAAAGAAAGTGTCTGGTTCACCCTTGAATCCTAGAAGTTGCGTTCAAAAGCAACAGATTACCATTGACCTAATAATCAAACCAATATATCAAGATAAACATGGATTAAATTTGAACATCTAAAGTAGTTCCTTCATGCGGATGATCCGAGAACAGCGACCTGGACGCGGGTGATCATCCTTCCACGTTGAGCCCCCACCGCGAGCGCACAAGCACGTACATGGGGCCATCCACGAGCACGAGTATCAAGGCCGAGCGAGATCGAGAGCACTCGAGACGATCCAAAGTCGTGCCTATGCCTCCTGGTTCAAATCCGATCTTCTCCTCTTAATTAATATCCAAAAAGAAGGCATTTTTATAAGAAATTTTATTAAATCTTTCCCAAGATTAATGCTTAGATCTAGTATAAAAAGATGAGAAAAATGCTTGCGTTTATGTGCTAAATTATTGAGATTGGAGCTCTCTTGTATATGCCTTGATTTTATTAGCCTTAAACCATGAGATTTAGATGCATCACTTTGATTGAAAACAAGCCTCTTTTTATGCCATGAATGTTTAGCCTTTATGCCTTGAAGAACTTGAGTTATTGTCGTGCAAAATCAAATATTTTTGTTGGCCTTGAACTCTTGTGAAAAAACCATGTTTGGAAGCCTTATTTTTGTGGTGCTTGAACCCTTAAAAATTCAGATCTGGACCTAGTCATGAACTGTCATGTGCCGGGAGATCGTCGGCCGGGGAGTCGCGTCGTACCGGGCAAACAACAGCTCGCGGGCGCAAGCGAGAGCTGGCAGCGTAGGCCTTGCTGCACGCCTGCGCAGCGTGCCGCGATGCACCGTGCCCAGCCGCTTCGCACTGTGCCGATGCTGCTGCCGTTCGAGTGCACACGTGCTATTCCCCGTGTCTCACCGCAAGCGTCCCAATATGCGTGAGCGTGCGCGGAGTTCTCGTGCCAGCGTGAAGTCCCCTGAAGCCAACAATCGTAGCAAGTCCCACAGCAGACCCGTGACACGTCCTAGCTGGCAAGCGCACAAAGGCAGCCGCAGCGCACTGGGGAGCCCCGGGTCGCATTGAGCAGGGGAGCGCCCAGGCGACCTGTACCCTCCGCGCGCAGGCGACCGGTGCCAGTAGCGGTCAGACCGCGCCAGCGCCCAGCCAGCATCGAATCAGCAGCGAGCCGCATGCCCCCAAGCCATTTTTTTTAGCCTTTGAACCCATTTTCGAGTCAAACCTCAATTTTTGCTCCAAGAACCTTTTTTCTAGCTTTAATTTACCCCTTAGTTGAGAATTCCAAAATTAAGATAATTTTCACTAAGTCAAGAAGCCTTAAGGTAAGAAATTTTATTCAAGTTGGTACTAAATTATTTTTACCAAGAGAAAGATAAGATATTTATAAAAGTTATGTTCTAAAAATGTAGATTTTGAAATGTCGAGCCCTCGAGCAATTCCCTTGAAGCATCAATATATCATTCATCATCTATTTTAAGGTGGGAAATTCTATACTTTGTCTTATTCCTAAGGCAAAATAGCTCGTTATATCACGACCTTGTACCAAATTGCTAAAACATCACAACTTTTAGACCTCGGCATAGAATATCACGACCTTTGATTTTTTTGCAAAACGATACACCCAAAAACCGGCCAACGGTGCTTATATGTCTGACCAAACTTTATTACCTGGAGTAAAAAAATATGACGTGGATATGATTTTTCCACGTGTGCAATGACATGGAAAACGAGTATAAATATCCCAAATCAGATTTTTTGAATTCACGTAGAATCCCTAAATTTCAAAATCCCTAATTTTATCCACACTACTTTTTCTGAACTTTGATTGCTTGGGTGAGCCAGACCATGAGCCTCGGCAGGGATTTAGCTTGGGTGGCCGCCATGGATGCCCCAAAGGGGCTCCTCATCGAGTCCCACAGGAACTTCTCAGGATTTTTCGTGTCGAATTTCATTGTTATTTCTCAACCAGCTCGCAATTGGCAGATTTGGGGGCCGTAAATTGAGGGAATAAGGAGAGACGATTGAATCTCACACTCTGTAAGCACAAAATCTTCCTCTTCTCTAAGTGCGTGTTTGTGGGATGAAAAATAATTGCAGATCTGGTCTGCGTTGAAAATATGGGTAAAAAGGTAAAAGAAATGAATGAGGATGAGAATGAAAGATTAAGAAAAAAGGCAAGACCAAGTTGCAGAGACTCTCCCTCTCTCTCTCTCTCTATACACTTTCCCTCATGTCTCTCTCTGTACAGACTTGCCAACCCTAACCCAACACCACTCTTCACATTTATTAATTGTTTTTGGCACCTTAAACAATGTCTGAGAGGAAAAATAAATAACAATAAAACAAAAATCTTTAAATAATGCTTATTAAAATATAATTATCGAGATGGTGTCTCAATGTAGGCATATATAGGTACAGAGGATTGTATGTATAGGTAGGGGACGGAGGTGGATGAAGGTTTTATGGGACGAATTTTCTGAGAGATTGAGATTGAGCTTCAATTTTGAGGTGATTGTGGGAGATTGGGACAAAATTAGGGTTCGTGGATAAAATTTAGGGATTTGTGAATTCCAAAAATATATTTTGTGCTATTTATACTCGATTTCCATGTCATTGCACAGTGGGACAATCATATTCACGTCATATTTTTTAATTCCAGGTAATAAAGTTTGGTCGAACACAGCCGGTTTCTGACTTTGATGTATCGTTTTGCAAAGAAATCAAAGGTCGTGATTTTCTCCACCAAGGTCCAACTGTCGTGATGTTTTAGCAATTTGGTATAAGGTCGTGATATAACGAGCTATTTTGCCTATTCCTAATAATTATCGTGATATTATGGTTGTCGTATGTTGTATGAGTATTCTCGCATGTGAGGGGCATTTAGATATAACCCTGCCTGCGATGGGCAGCGCCTGTGACGGGCAAAGCTTTTATAACCCTACCTGTGATGGGCAGCGCTTGTGAGAGTAAAGCTTTTATAACTCTGCCTGTGAGGTACAGCGCCTGTGAGGGGAATTATGATCAATTTATTCATGTTTCATGCTAATGTCAGGGTATCTGGTAATTATTCTGAATAATCGCATAGTATGGTATATCAATGAGCTAGTTGTTTTGCTCAACCCCCACAGTTATATAAAATTTTCAAGGTGAGTGGCTGGTGGCAGACTCGGGAGGGCGAAAGGGTCATAAAAATGCTATTTGTCTTATGTTCCCGCAAACACTTTACAAACTCGTTGGTTGTTTGACTTTTCATGATTTGAGACTGAGACTGAGATTCGATGTTTGAGACTTTAACTGTTTGAAATATTTTTATGTTATGATTGTTAACAAGTAAGTAAGAAGTTGGAAAGTGATTTCTCTAAGAATCTAAGTGTGAGA